CTAATTAATTTAGGATTCCGGTCCAGTGACATGCTGGCCCGGCCATTTCGAATTTGATCCTAATATGTATACCATCATTTAGTACCTATTTCGTACTATTTTGTACCTCCATTAATATAATTTGTACCTCAAAGAATACCAAGCTACGGGCCCGTTAATGTACAGGTCAATGACCCCTCAGCCCGGCCATATCGGAACCTATGGTTATAAGCTATACTACTATTTAGTACTTATTTTGTACTATTTTGTACCTCCATTAAAATAATTTGTACCTCAAAGAAAACCAAGCTACGGGCCCGTTAACTGTACAGGTCAATGACCCCTCAGCCCGGCCATTTCGGAACCTATGGTTATAAGCTATACTACTATTTAGTACTTATTTTGTACTATTTTGTACCTCCATTAATATAATTTGTACTTCAAAGATAACCAAGCTACGGGCCCGTTAACTGTACAGGTCAATGGCCCCTCAGCCCGGCCATATCGGAACCTGTAGTTATAAGCTATGCTACTATTTAGTACCTTGTTCGTACTTTTTTGTACCTTTCGAGGTAAAAAAATTACCTCAAAGATAAACAAACTACTTATGTTACATATTGTATGTGTAATCATGTTATTGTTAGTGGTTAATTACCCCTCAGCCCGGCCATGTCACAGTTTCTAGTTATAAGGTATGCTATTATTTAGTACTCAATAATTAACAAGTGATGCAGTTATTTGGTGGTTATCTCCAACTATTTAGTTCTTCATATTAAACAATATGTACTACTCATACAACCCAAGTAATCAATGTGTCGAGGTTTAGGCTATTTTGGTGCGAGGGTACTGTGGTGTTTTTTTTATTTCATTCAACATTAAGTTCACAACTTTGTTAATTTTTTCTTTCTTTTTTCTTAATTAATTTATGTTGTAAAACTTAACGAGCTGTTGGCCCGTCCTACGTACGGGAATTTAGTAGTCAACTAAAACTGAAGTAATATCAATATTTCTAGAATGTAGAATGTTAGCGTCGGCTGCTAGACTTTTTACAATTTTAAACTTATCTTCTAAAAAACTGAAACCCTAAACTAAAATTATGGCTTCAACATTCCCTAGTTTTCAAAATTATTTGTCTTTCAGTTTTTTTAGTAGTTTTTTTAGAAGTACAAATTATATTAATGGAGGTACAAAATAGTACGAAATAAGTACTAAATAGTAGTATAGCTTATAACCATAGGTTCCGATATGGCCGGGCTGAGGGGCCATGGATATTTACAGTTAACGGGCCCGTAGCTTGGTTTTCTTTGAGGTACATGTGGGAAAATAAAACTCTTCAGAACTTTCTACAACTTGGTTATATTTTACACTTAAAAAAAAAACAGGACAACAAAACGAACCTTCTTTAAACATTAATTCAACTCAACACCCATTAGTCACCATGACAACCGAAATATCCAAAATCGTAAACATAAAGGACACTAGTCAGCTGATGCTAGTTCACAGCTACACGCCCCCGTGGTGTCAACACCACCACACGCCCTCGAGGTGCCGACACAACTTACACTTTCATTTTTACTTTCAACTACTTTTCGCACATCTGCTATGTGATGAGGCCTGCCATTTACTTCAACACTTCTGGGTGAAAACTGTCCAGTAACCACTCCTTCCTTCCATCTCGAAGTACAGGATGGGTTTGGCGGCTTGACATACACACGTTCACCTACTGTAAAATGTGACCCTTCATACACTTCACCTTTTACAGGTTCACCTTTACATCGCCATTGGTACGAAAAAATCTGGGAACTCGGCGATGAATCGCCACCTAATCCTTCTTTAGGTGTCAAATTGTACCAATAGACCATTTCTTGGATACTCCCTTTAGTTCTTGCGGCCATACGCTTGATTGTTCTGTGGTTTCGCTCAACTATCCCGTTTCCACTTGGCCGGTTGACACACCTAAACACAACTTTAATACCCCATTTATCACAGAGCTGAGTAATCTCTTCGCATCGAAATGTTGCACTATTGTCCATCAAAATCTCATGTGGTGGCCCTCGATCAGTAAACAATTCCAACAACACTTTAGAAATCTGATCTTTCGTCTCTTTTGGGATCCGGCGCCAAATGCAGAACCTTCTTGGACCACAGTCCACAATGGTCATGAACTTGCTTTGACCATAGTGTGTTACGTCAATGGCAAGCCTATACCAATTGTTCTGGCAATCCAAATACCCAGGCTCCCATTTGATGCTGGATGGATCAATTGACAGACACTCTTTACAACTTTTCACAACTTCTTCAACAACTTTTGTGGTAAAGTTAATGTCTGGGTGACACCGTCTGGCGGTGAATAAAGTACGGTTAACACCAAAATGATGCAAGTCATGAACCTGTTTCACCAATGTCTTTTGGTCCACACTCTCATTCTCACACACAAGTGCAATGCTAGTCTCTTTGTTTATTGCTAACCATTTTTTTTGGCACTCTTGTAAGAAGATCTGCTTTGTTGAACTGTGACTTAATGAGTTCTATTTGTACATTGAGACCGCATTCCAAAATAATGTCTTTAAATAGGCTTAATCGTCTTCTAACCAAAACTTCACTTAACCCATGTGTTTTGATAGGACGGTCCCCCGTCAGTATAGATGACACCCAAGCATGAACTGTCGCTGAATCCGTGATTAATACGATCTTCTTTAACCCCCAACGCAGGGCCAAATTTACTCCTTTTAGGATAGCTTCAAATTCTGCTAAATTGATATGTGCTGAATCATGCTGCTTCCTCAGCCACGAAGCATCTTCGACTATCTCACCTTCAATTTCTAGACAAACTCCGATCGCTAGACTGCTTGCGTCACACGCATCAGCTGACTAGTGTCCTTTATGTTTACGATTTTGGATATTTCGGTTGTCATGGTGACTAATGGGTGTTGAGTTGAATTAATGTTTAAAGAAGGTTCGTTTTGTTGTCCTGTTTTTTTGAGCCTGTAAACACTTTGGAGCATAATGTCCTGCCTCTCCACAGCGGAAACAAATTACATTCGAGGTGCTACTCGGCTTTCTTTGTGGGCATGATCTTGCTAGATGTCCTTCCGAGTTACAGATAAAACATTTTTTACTATACTGTCTTTTATTTACGGACACTTCCATCTGAGCGGCGGCTCCAACATTGGATTCACTTCCATTCACTAAACTTCTCGCCCTTTCTAACACTTTTGACAGCTCCATGTCTTGCAAGCAACATGCCGCCTTTAACTGATTTTGAACTTCTCTGGGTAGTCCGTGAACAAAAGAACTCTTTATCCACTCGTCAGAAACTGAAGAATCTATTAATTTAGCCAACCTTTTCAAATCAGATGCGTAGACATCAACAGATTCTCCTGGAAGCAAACGTCTGGATATGAACTCCTCATACGCTTGGAAACAGTTAGCAGAGAAAGCCTGCTGCAAAGCTTGGGTCAGGGCGGAGTAATCACTCTTAACTGCGTCGGTAAGCCCATCGTAGACGGCAAATGCTCCTCCAGACAAAAACAAGGGAAGCACTGATTGTAGTTCTTTAACCTTCTGAAGTTTACATACAAGCTCTAACTTTTTCAGCCATTCCGAGAAGTCTCCTTCGCCATCATACAACTTTACCAAATCCGAAAATCTTGTACCGTTTCCAGACATGCCGAAATAGCTTGTGGGAAAATAAAACTCTTCAGAACTTTCTACAACTTGGTTATATTTTACACTAAAAAAAAACAGGACAACAAAACGAACCTTCTTTAAACATTAATTCAACTCAACACCCATTAGTCACCATGACAACCGAAATATCCAAAATCGTAAACATAAAGGACACTAGTCAGCTGATGCTAGTTCACAGCTACAGTACAAATTATTTTAATGGGGGTACAAAATAGTACGAAATAGGTACTAAATAGTAGTAAAGCTTATAACCATAGGTTACGATATGGCCGGGCTGAGGGGCCATTGACCTGTACAGTTAACGGGCCCGTAGCTTGGTTTTCTTTGAGGTACAAATTATTTTAATGGGGGTACAAAATAGTACGAAATAGGTACTAAATAGTAGTAAAGCTTATAACCATAGGTTACGATATGGCCGGGCTGAGGGGTCGTTGACCTGTACAGTTAACGGGCCCGTAGCTTGGTTTTCTTTGAAGTACAAATTATATTAATGGAGGTACAAAATAGTACAAAATAAGTACTAAATAGTAGTATAGCTTATAACCATAGGTTCCGATATGGCCGGGCTGAGGGGTCATTGACCTGTACAGTTAACGGGCCCGTAGCTTGGTTTTCTTTGAGGTACAAATTATATTAATGGAGGTACAAAATAGTACGAAATAAGTACTAAATAGTAGTATATTTTATAACCATAGGTTACGATATGGGCGGGCTGAGAGGTCATTGACCTGTACAGTTAACGGGCCCGTAGCTTGGTTTTCTTAGAGGTACAAATTATATTAATGGAGGTACAAAATAGTACGAAATAGGTACTAAATGATGGTATACATATTAGGATCAAATTCGAAAATGGCCGGGCCAGCATGTCACCGGCCCGGAATTCTAAATTAATTAGTTATCCGGTACCGATTGGGGTACTAATTTTTTGTTTGTTGGTACTAAATAGTACGAAATAGGTACTAAATATTAGCATAATTCTTATGTACTAATTCCGTCATGGCCGGGCCAGTGACATGGACGTGGCTCCAGCTGTTCCATAAGGATGGGAAATCTACTGAGGAACTATGTTTTGTTTTATCTATGGTATTAACTTAAGTTATTAACTTATGGTATTAACTTAACTTATATTTATTTTATACGAGTTCAAGAAACAAAAGGTACTACGATACTGCATGTTATAAAAAGTCAGCTAGCCGTAAGTTGATAACAAAAAGTAAAACATCGTACAGCTGAACAGGTTGAAACCCTGAAACGAATGAATTGAAAAATAATTGCGGGAATCGGGAATGGGACGAAGGACGAAGTTAATTCAATCCATTCCCTTGTTGTTAATGTTGTGTTATGTGTAGGCCTATGTTTGAAACTTTAATTTTCAAATGTTTGTTTAGTTTTTAATAGTACCGGTAGTGAGTAGCAATTTAATAAAAATGGAAGGTAAAGGTGACTGTGACATGAAACCCCCAGAAAATCCTACAGCTTGTCTGTCAGTTGAAAAATTCCGAAAATTGGTTAGGGTTCATCTTGATGCGGTGAGTTATATAGGTTATTTTAATTTGCCTATAGGCCTAGCTTAAACAATTGGTTGTGTCTTGACTACAATTACTGTCACTAGCAGGAAATACTAAAAACCAACCAATTAATCATACCCAAACGAGGTAAACTGGAAAAACAGTTAGCAGGCCTAAGTTACATTTACCTTGATGTCTAGTTCTAGGCTACTGGGCCTATCTTATGCAATTTTGACCCAAGCGTAGGTCTATAATAGGGAATATCATGGACACAGCCTCGATATAGGCTTACTGATCCAACGGATTAATCAATCTTTGTTTATGTTACATCAAATAGCCTACTTTATGAATGGAAAGATTAATAGGTCTACTAGGGCTAGGCCTATAAGATTATCAAAAGTAGAGTCGGTACCTTATTTAGGCCTAGTCAGTACATTGCAAGTTAGATTGATATGGTTGAAAATACTGATACACCCTAGGCTTAGTCTAAATTCGATGTACTATGATGTAGTCGCATATCCTGGAAGTTTCATCATATCATGTAACTTACTGAACTAGGCCTAACTTGTACATGTCATTTGAATATAATGATGATGTCATGAGATCTCGGTAGAAACAATTTTCTTGAGTACAGTAGGCCTAGTATTGTTGGTTTGTTATAGAATTGTGTGGTGACATAGATGGGTTTCTTGGTAGTACGTGCCTGTTAATATGATCCGTCAAAATGATGGCTGGATGTATCAGCAGACACAACGGTTTAAAATAACGTCTAATCGTGGTTGCATTTATAAGGCTTAGCTCTATAACTGCGGACCAGTCATTTTATTGCAATCACAAACGTTCTGTAGTAGGTACCATATGTCTGACTCATATAGTATTTTCCATAGTGTAATGCTCATCATTAATGGATTTACTTTTATTGCTGTAGGCTAAGTTAAGCATAGACTTATAGGCTTCAGTGAATGAATAAAAAGTAGTTTAGGCTAAGAAATGATAAATCTGAATGCCTCATCCAGGGGAGTCTCTAACATTCATTGCCTTTCAGTTCCCACTCAGCTGATGAGTCATTTTATAGAAACAAAAATCATTACATTTTAATGGTAAAATTACAACAAACAATACAATATTTCCAAAAAAGTAGATAAAATATCTTACAATGTGGCCCTATGCTGTTACGGCCCTGAAAATTCCCAGACCAATTACATATAATCTGGATAGATATTATGCCACACCCTCATGAAACCCTGTCAATATCGTCACAATAGCATTGTTTTATTCAAAATATAAAAGGAGGGTCTGTAATAATTCACTCTTTTATCCTCCCAAGTTCTGCATCAGTGCTGTAGTCTCACCATAGAATATTGCGGCGACTAAGACTCGTCGCTAGGCCGGGGCCAATGTTCTCACAAGCTTGTAGCTGGAATTCGCTGATCTCTGCTCAGCGAATTCCTCGCTGAACCAAGTAACTGTGCATCTACAGTTTGTCTAACATCCAGAGTGACGGCTAGGAAGCAGCACCTTACTGTGAGCCAACTGACGTCATGCGGCATAGCCGCAACGCTGATTGGCTGACGTCCCTGCACTGGCACAAGTGAGAGGACGGAAAACTCGGCCTAAGTTAGTCCAAATTCTAAATTTGTTTCGGTTGGTCTCCTAAATTCTGCGCTGTTTTTCTCCCTTTTTCTAAAATGAAATCTCCATCAATCAGAATAATTTGTAACTTATGTTTCGAAGTAGGCTATTGTCACGAATTCTATTCTAAGATTGTTATTTTCCTCGCTAAGACTGTTGTGTCATAAATTTGTAATTAAATTAAATCATTTAGGCCAATCGCACACTGATCAGACAAAACGTCTTATGACAAAATGTTTTGTCGAAAGATGTCGGAAGCGAGTGTGGCCTACCATGCAGTTAAATGGAAGCATCACACACACTGATGTGACAGAGGCTTCAGATGTGTTGTTTTGTCTGAAGACGTCTTTGAGTGTTTTTATGATCGCTTCTAATATTTTGTCTAAAACGGGGTCAGACAAACAGTTCTACACAAGCGCGAGAGCAGGGACGTATTTAAGTATCTGCCGCCTCTAGGCAACAAAGTTTGCCGCCCCCGCTGATTTTGTAGAGAAATAATCTGCAATATTGCATGCTGAATCAACAAATTTAATAACTTTTTAGAGCTCTTTTAACCCTCAGGGTGTCATGTCAAATGTTTGTTGACACAATTTTTGGCACTTTTCCGGTTTTCTACTTAAAAAATAAAATTCATAATATATTAAAATTCATATATAAAGTAGCATATCTTATACAGTAGAGTCCCACAAACTCGGCACTCGATAACCCGGCAGTCTGGATAACTTGGCCATCACCTGGCTCAGAAAATTAGTGATTTTGTTGAGTCCGAGTTAAACATAGACTCAAGCCAGCTCAAGTCAAATCATTCTTAGCTCGTACAAATGATTTGTTGTACTATATCTGATGACTTAATGCTAACTTGTAATATAAATATAAATAAAAGAGGTAGTTAATAAGATTAAAAATTTTATTGTTATTATTTTTAACACTAGTTCCCGATAACCCGGCATTTCACAAACTCGGCACCCTTTCAGTCCACATTATGCCGAGTTTGCGGGACTCTACTGTAAAAGTAAATAAAACTGGCTATACAAACATGCAATATTTTTTGTCTTTACCTTATGTTGATTAAATCCAGCATGGGTTCAAATCCGCAAGTTCCCAAAAAAAATTTATACTTTTTCACGTTGAGAGTATTACAAACAAAGTCTGTCACAAGTGTCACACCACAAAGCAAAATTAAAATATTGTATACATATTGTTCAAAATTTAATAAGAAAAAAGAATATATAGGCCTACTGGTACATTTATATGGACTTTTATATACAAACAGACTTCAATCACTATTACAACTCACAACACAGTTGATCTGTTCATCAACAAAGGTACGCCATTTGTAACCCCAGCGTTGCCAGCTGACAGCTGCTGTTTGTAAACAACACATAATAATAAAAGCGAGCTGTTGGCCCGTCCTACAGGCCAATAGAGTAGTCCATTATAACTGTATATAGTATGTCTATTACTAACTCAAGCATAGTTTAAACAGTTCAAAATGTGTAGTAAAGAAAAAGCTGCCAAGATGAATGAAGTGATCATTGTTATTTTCCCAACCTTTCTTCAAAAAGTCGAGTATTAAAATAATTTATCATAAGCTTTCTTTTGAAGATTCGTGAGCTTCAATTCATATACAGCTATGATTATAGAACCTTATTTCCTATGATCAATTACAAAATAACAGAGTAATTAAACTAACCTATAGTTCTATAGAATATTCTTTTATTCAACCAGCTGTTCGTTATACCAAATTATATTGCACTAAAACAAACTAAATATTTTAAAGACTGCTCAAAAATATAACTGAGAACATCTAGTAATTTACTATGTATATTTAAATAATCTCTTATCCTCTTACCGAATACGTGAGCCTAAAATGTAGCCTAAAGTTTGCTAAACTGTTTGGTATAAGTACCAAGCGGCATCGATCGATCGTACGGCTATATATTGACCAAAACTGACTGCCTGCAAAGGCGCCCGATTTAGGGCGGTTGACACTCGCCCGGTCAGAAAAAGCCGGTGGTTGAAACTCAGAAGGTTAATGGAATTCTTTGCGCCGTTTTGATGCAAAACGTGATTCTGACTTGGATACACGGAATGCAAAGTTTTTAATCCAATCAGTAATTATAATCGCGTTTTGCGGTGTGAAACGGTACTCAAAATTGTCTGTATACAAGGGATCTTATATAGCTTATCTGTCAGAATTATTTGCTTAACATTTATTTTTTTAGATTAAAACCTCAAATTTTTTACCCCCAAAATTTTGCCGCCCCTAAAATTTGCCGCCCTAGGCAAGTGCCTAGTCCGCCTATTAGGAAATTTGTCCCTACGAGGGTGACGTAGGGCGGAGAAAGCAGCTTACACGCACATGCACTCACTTATAGTTGCATAGTCTTTGCCCTAGTAGTTCCTTGTGGAGTTATAACGATGACGTCTGAAAAGAATTTTTGAATTGGGTGCGAGGGTTATTGGCATAAATCAATTGATTGGGTTAGTTATTAAATAATATTGTAACCATCATCTCGTACTCTGTAATTAACTCCCCAATGTTCCATTTCGGATGAAACCCAATGCTCACTTCTTTTCTTCGTTTCGTTCGGCCAGTTGTATAAAGTTCCGAAACATAATTGTTACGCCGACTTACTCCACTTCCTCGTCCATTGTTAATACGTTAGTGTGTAAATTTTTTTCCCTCCAGTTTTTTTTCTTTTGTCTGGGACTACTGCACACTGATGCGACATTTTTGTTTTCTGGCAAAACGTCTTTTGCAAAAACGTTTTGTCTGACCAGTGTGCCTTAGTAAGTCAAAAGTTGAGTTTATAGTAAATGGTTTGTTGTTTCATTGGGCGACCACAAGGCTACCATATAATAAAACTTGTACTGTACATGTAATTCACCGTGTATTTTTGATATGACGGTAAACACTTAATTCTCTTTAAGTTTAAATTCTATTAAGTATTGAATTTGATTGTTTGCTGCTGTCATCAAAGTTACAGTCTCATAGTGATAAAGATATTACCTTAGACCGCTTGGGCTACCTGATTAGTATGTTTAACTAACTATTTGTTTTGATTTGTGGCCTTTAAGCTAGGCTAGTCAAAAAGAAGGTTTTGCATTACCTACGGTAATAGCTACTTACTTCCCTATATTTAACGACATTCCCTAAAAAGGATTTATTTTATTTAGACGATTAATTCTACTATCACATTTCCAGAATGCCAATGAATCGGCGTTATTTTGGGCTGACAAAGTGGCCTCAATGAGTGGCGGAGACCCAAGAGATGTTTACTGGCTGGCTCAATGTATGTTCCGTTCCCGCCAATACCACAGAGCTGCTATATTGATTAGAAACAAAGGCTTGGATAAGGTAAGGCTTCCAAAAATTTTAGTTAGGGCCTATCTTAATAAATTAATTAATATATTTTATTTGTTATAAGACAACAATTTTGCCAATTCAACTTATTGCTTTTTGAAGATCACTTTCAAGAAACAATCCCACTTTTGAGCATTGAAAATAAACTTAACCATTTAGATACTTATTTGGCATAAACCTTAACACCATTTTTACAATTTTAGTAGGAAAAATATTGTCCGATTGTTTTTTAATGTACTATGGCTTAAACACCTCTGCCTGACTGCCTGATTTCATAGCATTATTGTTTATTAGTATACATCTTTTATAGGATAAATAGGCTAACTTCTTAAATCTTTTAAGAATATCTTTTAAGATGTGCATTGTATTTGTACTCTATTCATAATTAAAATATGTCTATGTTTATGTCTACGAAAATACAATAAGTAGTACATCTGTCAACCTCTTGGGTATTACATTAGACCAAACCCTTCCCTGGGTAAAGGAAATTCATAAAAAAATCCCCCCTCATATGTTACTTTTGCTCTTAACATGATTTTTAGTAGTAAAATGGGGCAAACCTGCCCAGCTTAACCTTATTCTGCCCCATTTTACAACTAAAAATCATAATATTTCAGCTATTTCATATTTGATCTTTTTGAACTTGGTATCGTTGGATAGGGAATTAAAACTGCTAAGTAAAAGTGTTCCTGACATTTTTTCATAAATTCAGCCATTTTTTTTAGTAATTTAAGTTTAAAAATTAAAAGTGGCCGCCATTTTGAAAATAAACGGGAAAAAATATTTTTTTTCTGGGTTTAGACATTTATCCTCTAAAGATCCATACCAAATTTTAACTTGATACATTAGTCCATTGCTAAATAAAAGTGTTCCTGACATTTTTTCATAAATTCAGCCATTTTTTTAGTAATTTAAGTTAAAAAATTTTAAGTGGCCGCCATTTTGAAAATAAACATTGGAAAAAATATTTTTTTGTGAATTTAGACATCTATCCTTTAAAGCTCCATACCAAATTTTAACTTGATACATTAGTCCATTACGAAAATAAAAATGTTTAAGTGAAAAAAAAACAAAATGGCAAATAGCGGCTTAACGAAGTTGAAATTTTACTGATAGTTTTTTATTTATTTTTGTATGTAGAATATGGTTATGTATAGCCAGTTCCGGATTATTGTGACACCCTGTATAAGGCTTTCTGGGAATCCTTTTTATAATATAGACACATTGTTAAACGGCATCTCTCACTTGGTGCCTTAATTAATTTGTTTTATTTAGTTATTATCCGTGATGTGACATTATCAATGCACTGTATCAATTCAGTTCAATTCAATTTGTTTATTCACGGCAAAAGCCATTGTACCGTTACATTCGGGAGATAACAAGCAATACTAAATACAATAAATGGACACAAGATGCATACAAATAATAATACCACTAAACATAGTGTACAAAAATAAGTAGTAAGTAGACTCTGAACAAAAAGAAGCTAGCATTGCAAGAAGACATGCAAGATGATATACAAGTAACGTGCAAAAGGCATAATACTGAAATGAGAAACAAGATGCATACAAATCATAATAACAAGACATAATAACATTATTAATTATAGTGCATACAATAGTGAGTAAAAATCAGACTCTAAAAAAAAAGAAGCTAGCATTACAAGAAAAAGTACAGGTGTGCAATGATTGTGTTTTTGGGATAATAAATATGATTCGATTTGACTTTTATTTTATCTACTTTTAAGTTTCAAATCAGGGTTGGTACGGTCAGGGAAAACCTGGAAAGTCAGAGAATTTTGTTGGTCTGGAAAAGTCAGGGAATTACGAAAAACATTCTGGAATTTCTCCTGAAAGACTATCTTTTTACAGATATGCTTCAATTTGTTCTTAACATGTTTTTGTTTTTGTCTTGGTGATGACTTATGGGAAAAAGAACGACATATGTACTGATGCACATTTTTATATCGATAGTTTAGTTAGTTATCGGTGGGGGAGAGGAATCGATATGTATATACTGTAGTTTGAAACAAGTTTTGTATTTGGGAGTGATTAAATAAGTTAAATGATTTACATTTTTTCTAATATTTTTTGATTTTGATTAGTCGATATCGACTTACGGTATACCTAGAAAAAGTATAATATCAGTCTGGAAAACCTGGAAAAGTCAAGGAATTTTATTTTCCAAATTTAGTACCAACCCTGTAAATCCTTAATCTGATTAGTGTTTATAGAAATGAAAATGGGTACATGATGGAGATATCCATGGTTAGAAATAAGAAATAGGGATATAATTATTCTAGGGTTTATAATTATTTAATTTCTTGATCAGCATTGTACGTGTTATTAAATTTACAGAAAGTAAATAAAGATACGTCTTATAACAATTAAAACATATATTTACGCTTATACTGTTACTCACAGGACGGTAAATATACAAAAGATGGTAGGCCTAAGTGGTGATCGATTTCGATTGGACACTCCAATCATCATCAGACCCAATAGGCGAATGACAAGAATCTTGAATGGCGTCCCTACTTATACCCTATTGGCTACCGGAAACACCGGCCAATACATTTTTATAAGTACAACTGGAATCGAAACTTACTTGTTCATTAATCAACTTATTTCTGTTTTTACATTTTTCCTTATAAATATACAATTCTTCCCAAGCATTCATCACATATCCCTTCATACAATTCTTTAAAATACATAGATTATCCTCCATTTTTCCTATTGAGTGTCCATTTTGTAACAGGTGGTCTTTCTGTTGTTTCTCCATGCAGATATGTGGTTTTTGAAGCGGTTGACGATGTTCACAGTCTGTCCAATGTAGAAGCTATCACAATCGTTACAATTGATTTTACAGATACCCGATGCGTTGAATCTGTTATAATCTTCTATATTTGGGTGCAGTATTTTACTCATGGTGTTCTGAGTCCTGTAGGCTATCGAAACTCCGTATTTCTTGAATCTGTTAGCAGTCCTTTGTGTTGTAGTCCCCGTGTAGCTAAATGTGACATATCTGGTGTTTTCCTCTTTTATCTCTTCTAAAGTTGTTCTGCTGTGTAGTGTATTCTGTCTATTGAGTTTTCTTTTCGTCTTTCTTGCGATGTCCTCTATTGTCTTGGTTCGAAAGACATAACAATTATAATTATTTAACAAGATTCATCTTCAAGCAAGACCCTTGCCGTTAAATGTTTTCAAATAAAATTAACCTTGTGTCTTTCATTTTGTTGTTTACAATATCACAGATTATCTTGAACTTGATTGAATAGTTAAAGAAGGTTTTTGTTTAATTAGACCACTTACATCTGTGATTCTACTATGGATAGTTTCAATTAATACTTTATTGAAGTTAACAATTCACTTATACATAATTAGTTTGATTGGTACCACACCGGTATAATATATTAAGTTGGATTGCTGATAGCCTTTAAAGTTTTTTGTTAGTATAAGTTTGGTATATAACGTATATCCTAATTGTGGAATCTTGTGTAATGATGACATTGTATTGTTGACAGACTCAGCCGCTGTGCCAGTGGTTAGCAGGACTTTGTCTGCTGGAAGCTAGGGAGTACAACGATGCTCTACTGATCCTCACAGGAGAAGATGAACAGATAGGCTTCAATAGGAGTAACACTATCATCACACCTACTTCCTTCCTGCCTACTCCGAATATTCCGAAGAATTGTATTTTGGAGGGCTTCACACCTAAAGCTGTAACTATCTCCATTTAATTGTTATCTACAATCAAGTTTGACTGTTACAATCAGAATTAACCTTTCCAAAGACATTACTGTTTCATGCAAAACACTGATTCCCAATTTATATTGATGGCTTTCAGTCATGATTCAAAATTGTTTGGGGTAAAAAGCTTGTGTCGTTTTTGGAACTTTATTTGATAGAGGAAATCTGTAATCAGATGTTCTAGGGGGTCCCCTAAGGGTATGTGGGGATTCCTTCCCACCTCCCTCCTGGCGACCCACTAAAAGCAACCCCTTTTCTTGATCATGGGATTACTTTTCGGTATTACTTTATGGTCAGATAGGTTTTGTCAATGTTTCAGTTCCTCCATTTTCTCTTACAACTTACATGATGTTGTCCAAAATGCCCCATGCCTGGGAAAGCCTGGGTGAGGCAAAAATGTATGCTTCCAAGCTTCTTTGCAGCGCTCTAGTATAAACAAGTCAATGGGCGGGGTTCCAGCGGAGCAGTCTGGCACTGTTCTATATTTAATGATACGCAGGGCTGCACAGTGAAGCCTTTTCGGTTCCTCTGTTTCACGGGTTCTTCCTTCCAGGCTGGAGCGACATAAAGTATCTCCTGAGATGTTGCTACACAACACTCTTCTCAGTTCTACAATCCTGTCATTCCACCAGTACATTGGCATTTTTTTATTTTATTTTTGCATTGTTGCATTGCACATCCCCTTTAAGTCCAGGTCGAGTCTGTTTACATTTTCGTGGAACATTGTTCTGATTTTGCATATTACATTTAGGATGTTGATCTCGGTTTTCATTTTGGCTTGTCTATTTTCCTGACATTTCCTTTGCCAGTGAAGGCCTACATCTTTTTACTACTGGTCTAAGCCTTACTCTGCAATTAACTCATATTATCTTGATTTTCCCCTGAAAACTGGCACAAATATTTCTGGAGGAATAATGATATATGATTAGTAGATATAAATTAAGTATTAAGTAAAGTAATTTGCAAATTAATTGGCAAATAATTTAGAAGGACGTCGATTAATTAACCTTTTATTAGATATTTTTTTATAGGCCTAACTTTATAATGCAAAGCCTGTTTATATGAACAGCATATAATGCATATGTGCATATGCATGTTCATATATAGCATAATGCGAATATGTTTATTATATGGACAATGTTATAATTTTTACCTATGACCGTTTTTTAAAGTATCAGGTTCAGTTCAGTTATTAGAATTGTAAAGTTTCACACAACAACATAGCATTATTTACTTTCATAACAGCATAGTTTTATTCATACCAACACGAGTAACGGACCAATAAGGTTCAAGGATTGAGAGAGCAGAAGTAAAATTATAATGATTCAAACTTCAACTAATTATGATTCGAACTAATCAGCTGTTCAGGCCAATTTAAATGTTGAGTGGTGCAATTAGTGCTCGTAGAAGTTTTTAAGGCACTTGCCAAGGCTTGTACCTTAAATTTTCTACTCATGTCGTTAACACTATCTTTACGCAATCGTTGCGTAAACTTCTATTAGAAGTGGGCTACAAATATATAAAACTAAAACTCTGTGTTGAAAAAATCGAAAGTAAAAATGAATCTCCACACTATAGTTAGACACCCATTAAAATAAGTATCAATGCTTATAAGTGTATTGACTTATACTGTCTTGTTAATCTAAAGATTATATTTGACAGTTACAAAGTGCGATTGAGCTGTTGAAAGGACGAGTGTATGAAAAGTTGGACAACAGAAGTCGTGCTGCGGAATGTTTCAAACAAGCCCTCAAGTTCGATGTCTACTGTTATGAAGCCTTCCAAGCTCTTGTTCAACATCAGATGCTTACAGCTGTTGAAGGTAAAACTTGTTTTCTACTTAGTTTTACTTTTGATGTACCAATAGCTCTTATGAAGACTACACAAAGACTCAAATGTATTTTATTCATCTCTGTGAAAACACGGTCTTTACATATCATTTGTTAGTTTAATATATTAACTCTCTCGTACTGATGTATTTGGTATACTCGAATGACGCTAAGCATAACCTATAATCAATAATATATTTTTAATGAGTTCTATTGAAAGATTAAATCATAGTAATGCACTCATTTTTACAGTAATCACTACTATTTTATTTAAGGACCACATAGTTAGACAAGACATAGACTCTGCAATTGGAAAGGCACAGATTCCACAACACAAATTTAATTCCAGAACTGTAGAAATATCGGCCGATGACTCATTTACTACAGCGTCAGATTACTGACTGTGTTCAATCTAATGTCGGATTATCATTATCGGGAGTCAACTTTCCATCCATCTCTCCGCGTGGAGGACTGTACCTTTAATCTCGGTTATCTGTTTTGGTTAAACTCGTGAGTTTGCCTGCCTATGGTAGAGCTGGTAGGAGGGCTTACATAATAACTGTTGGAAGTTTCTGGGATGAGTTGATTCTTGTCAATTGCTTTACGGATCAAGCATTTGGTTTATTTTTAGCAATCATTATTGGAGGTTTGTGTCTATCTACGCTTGTTTTGTAAAAGGTTGAACTACTTTGTAATGTGAGAAAAACTAATACAATTTGCAAATTTTAATCAATTTATACTCAATGGGGTTGAAATGGCTAACATAAGCAGCATTTGGGCATGGTTACATGTTTTGTAGCATTCAAAGCTTTGTATGAACTAATTTATTGCTCTGCTACACTGGCACAATACCAGTGACAATTACTTTAAACATGTGTAGCTATAAATAGTAATGCTAGTGATTATTTGTTTTGAAGCAACATTGATTGATTATGCTACACTGAGTAGTGAAATAAACATCGTCTCCATGTACATTTTCAAGACAAATATAGAAAAAATTAACCCACTGGCATACTTTAATGGAACATTTCCGTCGCGCCACTAATGCGCCCCCTGGCATTCCTAGACGGAACTGTTCCGGCCTGGGACATTGCTACTAGTTCAACGTTATTCTGAGGGCTCGTAGCACTTGTCGGGTCAATATTTTTTTCTGTCTATCTGCTACAGTTATTGCATGTATTTTTAGTTTCTTTAATTGCCTAACCTGTTTTGGAAAACAAAAATATTAGAAGTGAAAGTTTTGAGATTATGTTTAATGCCAAAATGTCTTGTTTGCAATTTAGTGAAATAGACCAGTATTAGATAATCGTGAATCATCTTCCAATCTTTCAGACGAGGTAGATAGTAATTCAAGACAAAATAATAATGAATAGGGAAGTCACTAAGAGAGCAAAAGAATAGGAATTCCTGGTTTATTTGTTTCATTATTATGTTTTTTGTTTTTTTAGAGAAAGAACTTTTATCCTCCCTCCCATTCAAGGATCAATGTGGTGACAACGACTTGTTGCCAACAGTTTACGAGGTTCTGCTCAACAAGTACCAACGTCTCCCCGAGTTACCGCAATCTCTGCCTCACCCTCGCCTTTCAGATAACCTGGACCTGGAAGTAGCCCGAGCAGAACGTCTTTACTATTCTTGTGCTTACAGACAATGCTTCCTGCTCACTGAGGAGTAAGTTTCCACCAAGACTCAAGAACCATCTATTGCTTTCAAAGATATTCTAAAATGCTTAAGGGTGTGCTCTACCTCAGCTCGGGCTTCAGTTGCTATGTTGCACCATTGGACAGCGCCGCGAGAAGCGCTTGCAGAGGTTTCCAAGATTCCTGTTTTAGAATTAACCAATAATGATAGCTACGCACTCTAAACGGCTTATAGTAGTTCAAAGACCAACTAACGTATTTTTAATAAGTTAGGGCTAGTTGAAAAGACCTTTTTTCTAGTCCTACAAATCAAGTTTATAAGGTGTGTATTAAAAATAATTGAAATAATGAAATGCAGAACTATAGAAAATGTCATCCTCTTTAATATGAGACCTTAACTTTGATTCTTCCTTCAATGTAGCAGGGGAAAACATATATCTTGCAAACACTTGCATTCGGTGGCGCGTCAGGGGTAAAGCGCGCCCTTAAAACTAAATGTTTACCAATGTATATTTTTTGTGAATCAATTAATCACTGTAGTTAGTTAAGTTTGTTTATTGATAAAATGTTTACGCTTTCAAAATTAAACCTTATATGATCATGGCTAGATGTGTGATTATAATTTAAGTTTGAATTAATCACAATTCAGTAAAGACAAGCCATAGGTTTGGTTATACCTTTGACTAAATATTAATACAACTAGACATTCCATCCCCATGTTGAATTTATAGCCAGTTTTTTTATCAAAATCGTCGTAGTTGATGTGAGCCACCGACAGATTGTGCTGATCTAAATTACTGATTTCTGTTGAATACTGAATACACAATCTTTTTTACCAATTCAAACTGATGGAATGACCTATTGTGACCTGTAGCAACTGTTATGACCTATCAACTTGGCCAGCAACAAAAAATAAGGTAGAAAATAGAGTTTTAGTCACTAACGCATTCTGTGACTGGCTCACACAACTACATTCTTTTTTAACAAGCTGGTCCACACTTTTATTTATTCCCAATTTAAATAATGTTTGCCTCAAGGTATAATTAGATTATCCAAGAGAAAGAAAAAATCTTGTTAAATTTTAACTGCCTGGAACAATAGCCTATAGAAACCTCCATGGGTGATATTGATTTGAATACACGAAAGATCACTCACAGAGTTTTTTTTAGGGCTATGAAAGTAAAATGAAAAAGTAAATCGGTCCTGGGTCTAGGTCTTTCCGTGCCACCTACGGTAATAGCTACTTCCCTTTATCGAAATTCACTAAAACTTCAGTTGGAATGGTTTTGCCTCGTTGCACTTTCACAATTACAACACTAAACATACAATGTGGTACAGCACTGGTTTAATGAGTGAGGTAAAGTTGAAAAGATATACCTGTGCAAATCTATGTTTTTCCTAGCAGGATGAATTTACATGTCTAATGTTTGATTTATTTCTTGCAGCATTCTAAAGAAAGATCCATACCACACTACCTGCCTGCCAATACACATTAGTTGCTTGGTAGAGTTAAAGAAGATCAATAGTAAGTATGGCGAGAGGTGTAGTGTTTTCATAGCAATCGTTCAGATCAAGGCGGTAGGGTGGGAGTTTTCATTATTTATAATTAGGAGTATGCGAAGCAGCAAAAAATTTTCAATTCGAATCGATGCAACTCGATTTGAAGCAATACAGTATTTTTCTATTCATAATAATTGTCAGTGGAGTGGATTAACAATAATAAAAATTTACCACATTTGTGTAATGCAAATTTTTGTTGATGTGGTATTGGGCCTATTCATACATATCATGAATTTTAGGTGAAAAAAATATGTATTTTCAATCATATATTAGATATGATATATCATATATCATATACAGGTTCTGTATTGCTGGAAATGTCAGTGAGCTGCTTTACTTGCCTATTTCATAATTTTTACTTGCAGAATCATATTGTTAAGCATGTTACTTATTTTATAATACTTATTTTACAAGACAGACAGATATGTTTTGGTGTAAACAAATAAAAACATTTGTAAGATTTATACTGATACTTTCAATTGGTTTGCATTGATAAAATTAGAGGATAGAATCAGACCTATTAAAATACCAAATTTATTAGTCTAAAACATCAATATTACTAGTTAAGATTAAGTAAAAATTTTTCAGACTTGTGTTATTTTTAGAATTATTTTGGGAACGGGGTTTTATGGGGTAAAAATTGGTTTTTCTCGTGTTTGACCCTCAAAACTTAAAATTTCCCAAATTTTCTCTAGACCATTTTGAAGAGCTTAAAAAACAAATAATTAGGGATGGTCAAGTCTCGAAATTTCGGGAAATTTTCGGGAAATTTTAATTCTCGTTACACGAGACGAGATTTCTTTTTGGCCGAGATTTTTATCGAGACGAGAATAAAAATAAAAAAAAATTAAAAACGCCTGCAGAAAGTCAATGCAATACCCGCAATACAGGAGCGTGTTGTAGTTGCGTTTCCTTTGCGAAGGCGTTTTTATTTAATAAATTCTTTTAATGTAAATATTACTTTAATTATTTTAATAATATTACTTTAATAACATTTGAGAAGTTTTGTTAAGTGTAAAGCTGGGTTTTCCTAGCAGCGGAATCGGCCAGCGGAGAGAGTAACGCGGAGAGCGGACTCAGCTGGTCTTAGGCAATTTAATGTTACTGTTTTCCTAGCAGCGGAGCGGAATGCCATGTTAATTTCAATTCCGCTCTCCGTTGTCCGCTCTCCGCTGGCCGACTCCGCGTCTAGGAAAACCCAGCTTAAGCAGTGTGAGGAATGTTCTATGACCATAAAAAGTCAAAACAAGTAACTATTTTATAAAAATTAATATTGTTTTTATTTTATGATTTATTTTATTTTAGGAAAAGTTGAACTCTATCCTAACTGATATCACTATGTTTCCTAATCGTCTAGGCATTTTTAATAAGTTAGGCGTGATTAATAAAAAAATGTTATGCTGATGTTTTTTAGTAAAATATTGTAAATAGTCTTGCCTATTATCATTATTTTTGTATTTAAACAGTCATCTAACAATGTTACAAAATCAGGTAAAAACTTTGAACGTGCATTTCCCATTGTGTATGAGAAGGGAAATCCCATCTCGATCTCGTCTCGAAATTTTATGAGAAATAAAAAATCTCGTCTCGTCTCGTCTCAAACTAAAAATCCAATCTCGTCCATCCCTACAAATAATTTAGGATATTGAAGAGTTTCTGTATGATTATTGGTCACGGAGAAAATTTTAAATTAAAAAATCCCATGTTATTCTTATGAAGAATAAGTAAACTGTTGTGGTTTGCTTGTTTAAGGATATATTTGGATCAAACCTTGCAAATCTATTTATTTTATACTAAGCTATTAATATTTTACTAAAAAACACACTTTATTACCCTCCCTGTAGGCAGCAAACCTAGGTATTCGTTAAACCTAATATTATTTGAATAGATTTAATTGAAAATCAAATCAGGCAAATGGAAATTCGCTTAGCCTGCAGGTTCTGCTGCGGCGGGGGTATTTTTTAATATCACTTGCTATATGACCTATGTATATACTTGCTATATAAGAAAGGCATTTGTGAACATACAAGATCCAAGCCCCTTTGTAGGATACCCCTTATAAAACACAATATGAATATAGGTATGTCCGAATACAAGACAGTATTGGGACGATTTGTTCTTAATGAAGAGACAAATGAACAATGTATTTCAGTTAGTTGAATGGCTATCTTGATACTTAGCAAAAATAACAAACCAACAAATATCCTCTATAATAAGTCGTTTAATTAGGAGACATTTGTCTTTAGAATGCAAAAAATACCATCCAATCAAAAGCAAAGAAATATTTTAGTTTTGATTAAAAATGTCTCTGAGAGCTTGCTTTGCACATGAATAAGTTTCTAAGTTTGTCTCTGTACAATTTTTTTTTTAATACCATCCTATAAAAGTAATGGTAAAAAAGGCTAATGTTTGTTTTAGAATTGTTTTACCTTGCTCACGACCTTGTGGATTTGATGCCAGAAAGAGCCGTTTCCTGGTTTGCAGTCGGATGCTACTACTTTTTAACAGGTAATTTTCTCTTAGTAAAAAAAAATTTATAAGGGTTGCTAAGCAAGTAACAGAAATGTAGGTATAGTGTGATGGACGAGACGTTGTCATCTTGAAGTCAGAATCATTCTACACAGTTTGGGACAGTATGGGACAAGATTTTTATTTCCATTCTGATTTTTAAGACAGGAATGGGACAGAATAACTTTCCTGGTCAAGATGGGAAAGTGTTTCAAACAATTCTTAAGTGTTGTACTAAATTAGCATTATTAATTTAATAATTTTTGGTATGTAAAACTTTTAGAAACAAATTTAAAATTTGCTATTGGCAGTCATGATTCTCGATTTTGTTTAAAAATCAACAACCCCTGTGCTTATGTCTCATAATGCTAGATTCAGATTTTGATATCTACAGGGTGTATACCATCCGGGAAAAAACCTTGAATTTTAAGGGACCTGGAAAAAATTGGGAAAAAAACCGGACTTTCGGCGTCGTTCCGGGAAATTTTCTGGACAATTGCCGCAATCGTGGAAGACTATGATGACGCTTCCGTGACCGCGGAAGACGACGATAATGTTTCCGTGACCGTGGGAGACGACCATAATGTTTCCGTGTCTGCAGGAGATGACCATAATGTTTCTGTGACCGGGGAAGACGACAATAACGTTTTCGTAACTGCTGGAGACGACCATAATGTTTCCGTTACCGCGAGAGACATCCAGGATTTTGACGCGATCGCGGAAGACTATGATTACGTTTCCGTGATTGCAGTAGAAGACGATAATGTCTACAAACTGCAGGAGATATCTAGGGTTTTGCCGCGATCGGAGAATGCTATGATGACGTTTACGTGACTGTGTGAGACAATGTTTTCATGACCTTACGTGATGAAGATTATAGTAAAAATGATGATGATATTGAAGATTAATAATTTTGCAACACTATCTCACTGAACTTTGGTACAATTAGAAGTATACAAATGTGATGTGATAACAAACTTAAGTTGTAGGCCTTGAACTGGTAAACTGGGGTAAACTGGTTATAGTTTACAGCTAAACATGCCTGCGGGAACCTGGAAAAACTTTCAAAATCCTAGGAAAAAAACCTGGAATTTAAGTTTCAAACACCCGGTATCTATTCATTGTCTCATTCTAGTGTCATTGTAAATCTGTTTGACTTCAGGGAAACGAGATCCAGCCAGGAGATATCTAGGCAAGGCTACATCGTTAGATCGACTGTTTGGCCCAGCATGGCTTGCTTACGGACATTCTTTCGCTGCAGAAAATGAACACGATCAAGCCATGGCTGCCTACTTCTCTGCTACAAAACTAATGAAGGGGTAAGTTTAGTTAGGCCTATTGATGTTTTGGATTGTTAACAACCATTTCTGTAGGCTGTTAAGTGAAAAAAATGTGTTTTTATGAGACGGCAAAATGGTTCTTGGAAACGTAACAAATAACTTAATCAAAGTCAAAATTTACTTGATCCCTGAATTAATGTAATTAATGAAAAGGTTTGATTCAGCTGTTATCTAGGACTGCAATTATTTTAATAAAATAAAATAAGTTTTTCAATATTCAAAAATTATCCAAGAATTAATTTTTTTTGTCTTCAATCTTGTTTGGATAAGAAACATGATAGCAGAAATGCCGCATGTGGAAAAAAGGAAATACACTTATATGTTACCATTTAAGTTAAAAATTAAGTAAATAAGTACATCCCTTTATCCATTTTCTAATAAATAAGTATTTTCATTATTTACTGTAATGAGGTCCAAAAAAATAATATAAGTTCATAATAACAATAAGTTCTCATCAAAGTTTGTTTGTTACAGGTGTCATCTCCCTCTTCTATATATTGGCCTGGAGTGTGGATTGACCAACAATATCAGGCTAGCTGAACGTTTCTTCACCCAGGCCCAATCCATCGCACCCCACGACCCCTTTGTCATCCATGAAATGGGAATAATTGCATTCCAAAACCAAGAGTATGTAATTAACAATCATTAACTTTCCAGTGAATTTTAATTTATGTTTGGGTTTTTATATGATTAACACACACTTTTGAAGTTAGTGATGTAGCTTACAATTCCACAACCCAACATCCAAACATGTTTAAGCCTTTTGAAATTTCTATTAATTACGTAATTGATGCATCGTGACGTAATCGATGCATCGGGACCAAATTGATGCATCGGGATTTCGATGCATGCTGAATCAAACCGCGATTCGATGCATCGAATCAAATAAAAATTTTGATGCATCGAACACCACTAATTAAATCCCATCCCCAGAACTAAATACATGTTGAAATACAAATTTCTTATAAAGGCAGGAACGAGCATCAGAGACAAATTGAAAAGAACAATACCATTTTCACTAAAGCATATTAGGGGAATAATACAATTGATTAACCTTGATTTGATACGTGGTGGTCTTATTTGAACCAACATCTTTGTGGACCACAGGCTAGTTCTGTTCAACGGAAATAATAATTTATTTAATACTTATTTGAACAGAATTCACAAAATATAGAAATATACTGTACTATTCACTCAGTTTTACAGTTGCTTCCCAAGCTACTACTAACTGTTAGTAACTCCTGGTTACTTTTCCAGTTACAACATGGCCGAAAAGCACTTCTTGACAGCGTTGTCACAAGTCCATGAAATCAACCAATCAATCATTGCGGAGAAATGGGAACCCCTTCTGAACAACCTGGGTCACACTTGTCGAAAACTCAAGAAATATGAAGAGTCGTTGAGGTACCATCAGCAGGTAAAGTTTTATGTACTTTAAATGTACTAAATATGGGTTTCTTTTTTAAATGATTCTAGGTTATGAACTGGTATTGCAACATTATTGTGATTTCTAGTCATTATAGTCGAGTGTAGTTCCCAATGGCCTTTAATTAGGTTCTCTTTCATTGAATTGGATAATAATCTGGTATATATGTACATTCCATAAACTTTAATTGCCTATTTTAAGTATAACTAAGTATTCTTTTACAGGTGCTTCGGTTTTAGTTTCAAGATGTGTCTTACAGCTTTTTTTAAAAATATAGATTATTCATATTATTTAGGCTAGTCTGCATTAATAAGGAAATGCCTTTAGATAGTAATGCACGTAGGGAAAAAACCAATTTAAAATCGTAGATTTACAGAAATAATGCAATCTGTCATGTGTAAAAACAACTGGAAGCTATTTTGCAAGGTACTTCTTGCACATGGTTGTTCCAGTGATTATCTATTGTTAGGCCTAAGAATTTAGTTTGATATGTCTGTTTTTTCTAAGCCTAATTTTATTTTATGTTTTCTCACACACAGGCCTTGGTACTCTCCCCTCAGAACGCCAGCACTCTTGCTTGTATTGGCTTTGTACATTCTCTACAAGGTAATCTCACAGAAGCTGTCGATACATTCCACAAGGCACTCGGCTTACGAAGAGATGACAGCTTCAGCCTCACTATGTTGGCTAACGTGATAGAACAACTAATGGAGACCACACCTGCCTTTCCAGGTTAGATATGACAGCTTTTGACTCTTTTTTTAAGTATTTTATGGACCCTTTTGACCAGGTTTTTCCTAAAAAGAATAGTTCCTAGACGTAAGCCTAAGCCCAAACGCTCATCAACTACTAAGAGTAAACTAAATTGGTAAGTTGTGGTACACACCTGACCTAGATCAACTGAGGAAACTAGTCTTGGCTTCTAGCAATAGAAATAAGCATGCTGTTGAGGAAGTAGATAAAAATAGTGATTTTAGCTTATAGCCTACATTGAAAGTAAGAGGTTGTATAGAGTAAAGGTGAATGAGGCAAAGAAACTTGCAAACATGACTTAGATTGAAGCTGCAAAAAATCCGTGCAAGGCGGCATGGAATTTGGTGAATTGTGTTTCTAAGCCAACCCTAACTCTTAAATGCCCCACAAATCCTGATAAATTCAATGAACATATTCTGGGGGAAATCAATAAAATCATTGACTCAGTAAACCCTGACAATGTAAATACTGGAACTGAAATACCGTACTATTACAAACTTTCTAAATAACTAGGCTTATGTAACGCCTCAAACTATCATTAAAATATTCAAACAATTTAAGAACACAACTAGTCAGCATATCTTATGGCTTAAACATTATTGTGCTGAAACATGTTGCCGATATTATTGCTGATCCCCTAGCAAAAGTACTTAATTTTTGTCCCGTGGGGTTTTCCCTGATGTCTTGAAAGTTCCTAAAACGGTACCTATTTTAAAAACGGGCAACCCTGAAGATGTAGGAAGTTATCAACCTATTTCTATAGTGCTTATGTTTGCAAACATTTATGAGACTATTTAAAGACACAGCTTGTTCAACACTTTGAAACCAATGGCCTGTTTAGCGACTCACAATATGGTTTTAGGAGCGGTAGAACCACAACTACTGCAGTCAGTGGCGTTGCTTGGTAAAATTCCAAGGGGGGATGAAGCTTCAATTTTAGCAAATGCTTAACATAGATTTCCAAACTATTTTTTATTTTAAGAAATCAGTTTCTTTACTATTTAAAAATCTACAAATTATTATACTACACAGCAGTCACACTCAATTCAGTATTTATTAACTTGTATTAACAAAACATAGCTAGTTTTACATACATACAAAATTACTCAATTAAAAAAAAACTTCACAAAGTTCTACCAATTTATAATGAAATTTTATGACTCCAAAAAACTTGAATAAGTATTGTTTCAAATCCAATAAACCTTACAAACCATTATGGTAGCAGACGTAGCAGTGTAAAATTTTAGTGATATAAAATATGCCTACCTAGTACATATTGGTATAAAAAAATTTTGTATAGCAAAATTATGAAATTAAAATACTTTTAATATTAAGTATTTGTTGATTAAGAGTCCTTGAAGGCTAGCGGCCATCTTGGATAATTCCAAACAGCTGCTGAAGAGTTAATTATCATCCAAAAATAGTTTTTAAAAAACAGAAGTGATTATAATGTAAATATCTAGTATACTGTGAGATTAGAAGTGTTGTTTGTTGTTTTGAATGTATTTCCAAGGGAGTCCATGGAAGCCAACGGCCATCTTGGATTCGCCCGCCATAAGAGCAATGTTAATTTTGTTTTTTTCAAACAGCCACTGAAGGGTTATTTACCACCTCAATTTTTTTTTTCAAGTATCAAAGTGATTGTAATTTAAATATCTAGTAGGCCTATACTGTGGGATAAGAAATTTCCTTTGTATTTTTTTTTATTGTTTTATGAGTTAGAATGTCTAGGCTCCAAGGACTCTTAATTTATTCTGATTATTTGGTTTTTTTCACTCAACATTATTGTATGTATAACTAGCTTTAAGTAAGCCTTGTTTGTTAATGCACTGAATTGTACCAAATATCCAAATGGAGCTGTCCGTTGGAATGTAAAATAAATAAATAAATAAATAGATACAAGGTCAATTAAGTCAGTTAATGTTTGTAGCAAACTGTTAAATTAGCAAAATTATTGTCTGTTTACAATTAACATATGTTCTTCTTCTCACTTTTAATTTCTGACAACAGCTGGAGTTTCAGAACAATTTTGGTTTCCCATGTTAATCTCATGGAGAAGTACAAAACTTAAAAGGGCCCCAGGCCTCACTCTCTAATTATTTCCCTAAAAAGAAAGTTTCCTGCACAACTTCATGTTACACTCTTACCAATGACACCAAAAACATGTTAATCGGTTCAGTAGTTTTGCAGGAGTAATTGTCACAAAAAACCTGCTTGTGTAATATAAGTATGGATTAAGATGAACATTTTAACTTTCATAAAACTTACAACTAGGTCTAAACAAGTTTGTACTTAATGATGAAATATTAATATCAGTGTTGTGAATAATATTATTATAGTTTAGACAAGAATAAAACTAAAATAAGAATCATATAAAATAAAAACATTTAACTTGGTTGTTTATAATAAACTTATACATACAATACAAATGTTAACCTTCATAAAATTAGCACATAACACAATATTAGTGTTAGACGTCAAACTCAAACACCAAATTTTAGGTTATGTTTTCCACGTCGATCTGTTTCAGAGTGATTAGTTTATTCATTTGTGTAAATCTTCAACTACGAATGATAAATGACTTCTGTACATTTTTTAAATATATTCATAGAATTAACATTGCATTTAAGTATTAAAAAAATTAGAGTTTTAAAGGTAATATTGATACACAAAACAAAAAAGGTATAAAGTATAGTTAATATGACTTATGTGTAAAATATTTTTGAATTTCATGTAAATACTAACAATCAACAAAATTCAACTGAAGAGCTACATCACTTGCACTTTCAAACTCGCAGTCTCGCAGATGAATCATCAAAATCATAAACATAGGAACAAAATGTTCCGCAAATGAAATTTTAACAAACTTTACCGCTAATTGATTATTGATTTCTTAAAATAAGGTTTGTTTAGTCTAAGATGTTTAATCAAAGTTAAATGCAAGTTGAAGAAACGTTAAGTTTATTTGTCCAAGTAAAAGAAATTTCAATCTGATGGATTTTTGCAACTATTTAAATGTTTTTTAATTTAAAAATATATTTTTCTTGTATCTCTGATTTCCCAACCGTCCCAACTCGTAGCAAGAAAATTCCCAACTTTTCTCTTTCCCAGATTCTGGAGGGGAGGCTCCCCCCTACCCCCCCCCCCCCCCCCCCCCAAGGCGACGCCCCTGACTGCAGTTCTTAAACTAGCCACTAAGGTGTTGATGCTTTCAAAGAGGGAAATTTGGTTGCACTCACTCTAGCTGATCTAAGCAAAGCTTTTGATTGCGTTTCCCACATTCAACTGCTTGACAAGTTACATCTGTATGGCATTGGGGAGCTAGCACTGCTTGCCTTTAAATCCTACCCCCTTTGCCAGTTAAACATGGCGTACCCCAGGGATTGGTGTTGGGCCCTGTGCTATTCTTGATGATGGTGAACAACCTTGGACAGTTTGGCAACATCTTGCTTTTTTCGGACGACACGACTATCTTTGCGGATGCAAGCACTTCCAAGGAAACCAGGGTCAAAGCTGAACAGTCCTTTGAGAAAACTGAGACGTGGTTCAAAGCAAATAAGCTTAACCTAAATGAAAGCAAAACTCAACACATGACCTGCAGTCTGGCACAAAATCCTATTCCCAACAACCTGCCTGAAGGAAAGTATTGGGCTTCATAATCGACCCCAAACTCACCTGAGAAAATCATAGCATTAAAATGTGCACCAAGCTAGCGAGGGCATTGCATCTCCTCTTGAGGCTCAAACCTATGCTGACAAAGCAATATATACTGACTGTTTGCTTTATTCCACAGCCATATTAGCTATGGGTTGGATGTTTGGTGCCATGCAGCCGGCTGTAAGGATATATACTTTTGTTAAGAAAGAAGGCAGTCTGAGTTATTTTTTCCGCTGGCTACCACAAACATTGCAGACCTCTATTATTTAGTAACCTCAATATCCTAACAGTATACAGCCAGTACGTTCTAATCACCCTAAACAACTTTAAGACCAACATTTCCAGTTTTGCATTGAGAGATATAGAAAGAAGAACATGATCAGAATACAAGGTCAAAGTCAAAGTCCAACCTTGATATTGCTTTCTGCAGACTGACAAAAAAAGGACAGCTATCCTATGTCGGCAATTAGGATGTACAACCAACTGCCCCCCTACTTTAAAAACCTTAAGGCCTCAGATTTTAAAAACAAACTGAGAGTAGCTACTTGCAAGGCCCTTGTACTCCCTAAATGATATTTATAAGATTTGCGTCTAACATGCCGCAAAAAATTGTTAATATGTATACTGTGTGTCCCAAAAGTCCCAACCCCCAAGTGTTATTTTTTAAATTAATAGATTCAATTATTATATTCAGGGAATGTTTATATGATCAAAAAAGGAAGTTTTCTTGTATGTACATTTACATCCCCTCCTCCTGAAAAGGTGTAGTTTAGGGGTAAGACAAAATTTTCAAATGCAAACCCCTATCGAGTTATACATAATTGTAAAGGTCATAATAAAAAAAAGAATGGTGCAAACTAACTAGAGGTCTGTAAGTCAATCCCATCAAAAGTTATGGCAGTTCAACGTTTTAATTTTTTCCCCACTTTTTTTGAGAAAAACATGTTTTTTTGAAACGGCTATAGCTCAAAAACGGTAAGAGCTAAAAAAGATTTGAAAGAATTTTCATGGTCAGGAATTCAATTTTCAACAAAACACCCTTTAGCGTTTTCTAAAAATCGCACCCCTTCACCTTCAAAAAACGCCCTACTTCTAAAATTTGTACAATTTCTCAGATTTTGACGTGTTTTTAATTGAACAATGACCAATTTCCATTTGTCTGAATTGATTTTCAATTTAATCTATTTAAATAACATTGGTTTGACAAGTACCTAGGTTTGCTGCTACAAGGAAACTAATAAAGTGGGTTTTCTAGTAAAATATTAATATCTAGTATAAAATGAATACATTTGCCAAGTTTTATCAAAATATATCCATAAACAAGCAAACAATAACATTTTACAATATTCTCCATAATAATAACATGGTAATTTTAAATTTACATTTTTTTTTCATTTTTCCGTTACCAATATACTTACAAAAACACTTTGATATACAAAATTATTTGTATTTTAAGCTCTTTAAAAAGGTTTAGAGATCAATTGGGAAATTTTGTGTTTCGAGGGTCAATAATGAGAAAAACCAATTTTTACCCCATAAAACCCCGTAACCTCGTTCCTATGATCCGATCATGCTGGTTGGCGAACTCATTCAAGTTTATCCCGCCTTACACCTTTAAACCAAATTTCATCAAAATCGGACAAAAATTACTCGAGTTATCGTTTTCACGGACACATATATAACTCTATATACAGGGTGAATAAAAAGTCAAGACCCCCCTATCTAATATTTTTCCAAGTAAATATATAGAGATATCCTTTTGGGGGTCGTGCAATCTTAGCAGAAAGTTTAATTTAATCATTTTGAAATTTTTGAGTGTCCCCCCCAAAAGGGGGATTTGGGGGGCAACTCAAATATTTTAAATGTAAACCCCCTTCAAGTGACACCTCATTTTAAAGTGTTTACAAAAACTTAAAGAATTGTGAACACTAGAGGTCGCTATTTCTTCTCTATCCAAAATGGTAGCCCGTCAAATGTTGTGGAAAATCAATGGTAAAATTGGTTCGTAATGGTAATATTGGCTACCATTTTGGATAGAGAAGAGATAGCAAACTCTGGCTATCACCATTCTTAAAGTTTTTGTAAACACTTCAAAATGAGGTGTCACTTGATGGGGTTTACATTGAACAGTTTTTAGTTGCCCCCCAATCCCCCCTTTTGGTCAAAAATTTTAAATGTAAACCCCCATTTAGTAACACCTCATTTTGAAGTGTTTTATTTATTTATTTTAAGAGTATTACGACACCTAAATTAACTCTTAAAATGTCGTACTTGACAAAAACACTCACTTCCTTCAAACTGTTTGCCTGTTCGTTCTGCATACTTACTTTTGCACCCCTCTGTATAAATATATACATATATCAAAATTGAACGAATGGTGTTTTTGGCCTCTGGGGACATCAAAATGAATCTTTGATTATAGTTTTATCACAGCTTGTAGCAGTCAATGTACTTGAACAGAGTTTTACTGTTTCAGGAGCCCCAGATACAGTGCCAGGTTTTGACACAATGAAGACACAGAGCACCACGCTTCACAATAATCCACTATTCGACATGTTCACTCCACTATCTAGTCCTTCAAGTCCTCCTTTCGAGATTGAGATGCAAGACAGTTTCCAAGATGAAAACACCTCCTAGCATTCTCTCTCTTTGTCTACCTCGTCTGGTATCGGGTGAAGACATCTAGATGCATACTGATGAACAGCTAAATCTTGAAGCCAACAATTTTATTTATCTTGATTGAAAGACAACTGCCTTATATTTTATAATTTTAATTACTTAAACTTTAAATCGGAGATTTATAATTAGAACGTCAGTGTCATTTTTCATACTTTTAACATGTATTACACATACAATGTAAGAATATTGTATTAAACTATCTTATCGCTTTGAAATATGAAAAAATTGTGAGAATATACCAAAGAGTGAGAACATTGTAAAATCTTCCATTCAATTAGGCTATCGTCATTAAACAATTTTAAAATATCCTTAGTAGTGATGGGCGGATCCAAGAAAATGTCGGTACCGGATCCGGATCCAGATACACACTGTCATAAGGGCAGGTTAAAAAAACATTATTAACAGAATGCTAATTTAAATCATACTGTTTAAAATTAAATTGTTAATGTTTAAAGGTTAATATATCTTATATATAATCTCCAGTTGAGCCCATAATCCCTCATTTTTTGGGGACACTAAAACTTTTCAAAATCATAAAATGAAACTTTGTGCTAAGTTTGCACGACCACCAAAAGGGTATCTGTGTATATTTAACTATAGTTCGATCTTGAGTTTGCTATATCATGGTTTTTGCATGCAGCATCCAATTTATTTATGCCTGGATCACCTCTTGTTAATCTCTTCCTTAAATTCGTTCCAGGTCCACAGTACACAAAACACTGACCCCTTATGAAATTCTTTATGATGATTTTTTCTGATTCTTTATGTGGAATGTATAAAGTGAATAAAGATAATTTGACTTGATTTTATTACTAGAGGTGTGCCTTAGTAGCTCCGGGAGCAGAGCCGCTCGAATAGCTCCAGCTCCTGTTGCGAAGCTAAAAGGGAAGACTTAATAAGAAATAATAAAGAAAAAACCTGTTGGGGGAAAAAAATCCTAAATGTGCCTGCAAGAGGAAAAATAAAAGTGGTAAGTGGCTCTATTTGAGACCTTATACGGGATCTGTTAGTAAAAGTAAAAAAAAACTTCCAGAAAATTCATTAGGTAGTTTGGATATAATAAAACTTGCTGCCGATTTAAAGATGCCTTATTTTAGAGGAGTCTTCTTGTGCACAGATAGTCTTCTTGTACACAGACACAGATAGTCTTGTACATGGATACAGACAGCTTTGTGTTAGTAAAAAAATCGGGGATCCATCAAAACCGGATCCGGCCCAAGATCTGGAATTTTTCGATCCGATCGGGTGCCGGTTCTAGCTCGGATTTGGTAGTCCGATATCCGGATCCGACCATCACTAATCCTTAGCTATTCTGTTTTCTAATGTTTGGGCATAATTTGTTCTTTTGTGCTAAGTTCTTAACTGTCTCAATTGTGTTTGTTTTTAAGATCTTTGAAAAAGTTGTCTTTTAAAACACATGAATCTATTCTTGTCGTTAAAAATATATAAATTATTATACTGTAATCTGTTGGGTTTTATTTCTAAATTCCTTTACGATGTGGGTTCTAGTTAAACACTTTTTAAAATATGTACATTTCCCAATTTTTGAATTTAGAATTGCACCCTGCTGAACCTTATCCATAAGGGTAGAAGTCTCTTGTCAATGGGAAACTCAACCAAATTCAAAATGTTCACTACCGTTACCATTGACTAAAGGTCATTATTAATCAGAAGTCATTAAGTATTAATCAGAAGTATTCTTTGACAATGCACTGCGGCGTTTATGGTAGGTTAGTTTTTTAAGACAAATGAGTTACTATTTACACATTTTTAATAATTTAAGGGAACACACACGCAAATTGATGTCTTTGTAAATGGTTCCCTTTAAGAAATTACACAAAATAACTTATCAATTTTTATTTTTATACACAATATAAGTGTGTGTGTTTGTCAGGTAATCGCAGAGGTCACTCACAGAGTGAAAGAGTCTTCTTGAAAAGGCCCTAAAGCTTAAATTCATATTCAATTAATACATAAAATAGATATTTATCGAATGAAAATTTTATCCGAAACATTTCAACCGATAACATATAGGTTCTCTGCAAAACTGTACCCGAAATATGAAGAAAAATGTGACCGTGGTATTTTTAAATGTTTTCAACAGACTAGCCGATTTTAAAGTCTGGGAGGACAACATTTTTAAAAAATTTTGGAAAATCATCTATACCTCATAAATCAATTTTTTGTTGCCATGAACATTTTGTAAAATATTTATAATTTGTTAATGTTTGTATGTAAGTGTTTTGTACTAATTATTAGAGCTTCAAGTTGATGTATAATATAACATATACTTGTATTTGAGAATCCTAGGATTCAAACTAGTGGCCCTCAGTTTTTTTAAACTTCATGTGTTCAAAAAAAGTTGTTTCATTTTAGGAATAATGGTTTGTCTGAAATTGATACTGTGTACCATAGGAGAATCACTCTGTATATTTCAAATTGTTTAACATATAGTGAAAAAAAAACAAACCAACAAAATCATTATCTAAATTCACACACATACTGTATGTATAAATAGCAGATATGTCAAACCACATTAATTACAACTTCAAAACAAGATTTTTTTATAATCTGCCTAAGAATATTAGTAAGGAAAATACAGAATTTTTAAAACATACCTTAAAGAAAGAATGAATATACCTTTTTAGACATCCTAATCTTTCAATATAAGTTTTTATTGATTGTGTTTGTTATTTGTAATATAGAACACCCTAAAAACAATTGTTTGGTTTTCATAGGCTATTTTACTTAAAGACTATGAGATTTGACTCTGTTTGATTTATTCCTGTAAATACAATAATAAATAAATATGATTTGATTTATCTAATTAAAATCAGGTTATTACTGTTAATTGTATATTATAATCAATTTAAAATCTGTAATTTAACAAGATAGTATTAGTATTTTGTATCTTGTAAACCCTGTTTTCAGGAAAAAGACTTATACATTACTGGTATGTGGAGGATGATAAATTAAACATGAGTATAGGGCAAATTATTTATATATATATTTTACCCTGTCAGTTACATGTTTGATGTTATTGACAGTAAAAACTCAACACTGTAAAATATGTAATTCAGTCTCACAAAAACGAATATCAATCAAATTACATTACTGATATAAATGAAAATAATAAATATTAATGTACGTAATATATTGTATGGATCAGTAAATGATCATTTGATTTTTTGTTCTACATTCAATATTGTTATGACCTGTACAATCATTTTAAAAATATATACAAAACCCAAAACTTACACATTTTTAAGCCATTCCCCTAAAGCTATAAAACTAATGTTACAATATGGCTACTGAATCCTCTTTGTTTCACATGTGATGCCTTTATATTTGCTGGAAGCTATAATATTAGTCCCATGGGCTGATCATCACTAGCCAAGTATGTGAACAACAACAACGGCTAAGCAACCTTTGTATTTATTGTAATATATATAACTTAACAACTCAATGTTGGTATGCTTAGCACAAAAAGGTAACTAACATTATAGTAAAATTATAAAAAAGCTAAGGAATTTAAGCGTCCAAACATAATACTTGATCGATCTAGGCCTATGAAGGATTTCCAACCTTATTCTTCGGGGATAGCCATGTTATAAGATTCTTTCAGAAGATCAGCAACTTCACACATAGTCACTCCGTCTTCTTCAGAAACAACCCTCTTTCTCACCTGTCCATCGATTTCTTCCTCCACCACATACAATGTCAGTTTCTTGGGGCCTTTTCTGTTTGGGTCTTCAGGTATTCTCTGGCAACTTTCTTCTGCTTCGTCTATATACCTGGTAGCAAAGTTGTCAATCTCAGATGAGGATTCTTCATTTGAGACGGATTCTGCTTCTTCAGTGTTGTTAAAATAATTATCTTCACTTGTTGACCCATCGTTCTGTTCTTCTTCCTCAGTGTACAGTTTCTTTGATAAATTTTGGTTTTTAAAAGATTTTGGGTTGTGGATCGATCTAGTTTTTTCAATGATTTCTTCACTTTCTATGTTAATATAATCTTGACCTTCTTCTAGACCAATCTCTGTGGACGTTTCATTTCCTTCCTGCATTTCTTCTTCACCATCGTCTTCCAAAACTACTTCAACCAACTTGAACTTCCTTTTCTTCTTGTCACCTCCTGTTGCTTCTTCAACTGTGATGATTTCTTCATTTTTAAGTCTGTTTAGCTCTTCACTTAATATTTTTTCAATATTCTCATTTTCTTCAATAAGCTTCTTCTGAGTGGTCTTTTTTACAGTTTTTACAATTTTGTCTATATTTTCTGATCTCACATATTGTGGTTTTGTTTTCTTTGCTTTTGTCTTGCCAGAAAACTTTTCTGCAGGCTCTTCATGAAAAATTTTAGATTTCTTTAATTTTTGCTTTGTAGTTTTCATGTTTGCATTTTCTGTATATTTTTTGTCTTTAGTTGTGAATTTGATGTTTTTCTTTATGTTAGGCTTGTGCGTTGCAAATCTTGAATTTTTTCCCACATACTCATTTTCCTCTTCATAGTTTTCAGTCCTTTGTGATCCAGTTTTTTTAATCTTATCAAGTTTTATACTCTCTGTACGTTTGCTTTTACTTGTTAATTTTATTCCTTCTTCTTCATTCTGTTTTTGCGCATCAAGTTCTTTCCTGAAAATAGGTTTGAAATTTTAAAATGCACTTTGAAAATAACTATATTATCAAACGTAAGTCAAATTGCTCGGTTGGTAAAAAGAAACTTGTTAATTTAGTAGTGTTATTGTAATATGACAATATAGGTTTATGACGGTTAGTTTTCATAACAAAATGTGTAATTACCGCTGTTGTAGATTAGGGATTTAAAATACTTGTAAGAAATCAAAATACATAGGTAATCTTTGCGGTTTTATTTTGTACACCATTGGTTCTTATGTTCTACAAAATTATAACATTATGTTTGTATAGAGAATCAAAACAACTGAAGGGAAACAAGACGTAAGTAGAGGCTAGAAGAAACATAACTAAAACTATCCTAACGGTCAAAAGTTTGCAATTAAGTTTTCTTTTTATTTCATTTATGAGATTTTTTGATCTATTGTTTCAGTCGCCCAATAAGTTAATGAAATGCTTATAAGTAATCCAAAACTATATTAAGCTTTAATAAACTTTTCTATCCACAACATTTTAATTTTTTTTTAGATCTATTTTAACACAATCCATGGAGTGGATAGAAAAATAAGTTAATGGTGCTTAATATAGTTTTGGATCACTTATAATCGTAACATTTTCTTATTGGGTG